AACACCAACTGGGTCAACACAACTTTGATAGGTCTGTTATAATATACTACCAGCCATATTTCACAGTGTTTGTACTCTTTCCATCCTCACCACAGCCCAGCCTGTGGTGGATATTTCAATGGAAGAAGCTATAAACCTTGGACCATTCAATATCACATGTAGAGCAAGTCTCCACAGAAACGTTGCCTCTCACCAAATCCAGTATCTTGTACTGGATTGGGTGGGTACCAATGGGAAGAGTCTGACTGAGACTGGGAGGGGTGACTGTGGCCCCACAGTTCATCTTCACCATGATGTATCAACAAAGTCACTGATTATAATATATATGACCCACTGACATGGAACCACTGCGGTGACTACAAGTGCGAGGCTAAGCTCATACTTCAACGTCCTGCTCATGTAGCTACCATCTCATTATAGGGCAGATACCTGGTTCTTAAGGGGTGATATTGTTACCCCCTCCTGCATGCATGAGTGGAAAATGCTAAAAAAAACACACCTTGCATGAATCCATAATAATTATACATGAAAGTACAGCCACATGTAAGTGTAGTCATTATTTCACAGGACAATGAAGGATTGGGCTTTTTTCACACAGGGCTCGTCTGACTGGAACTGAAGCTGTGACACTCTGACGATCCCAGAGCTGGTGGAGGTGATCAAGGACTGGATAGCCAATGATGGGACATTAATTCCTGTACACCTATCACGGGAACACGGGGACTGGACCAAGACTGTCCTCTGGAGATTGCCTCCTCCCAGCCAGAGGGCAGAAATAACCATTTCAAGACTGAAATGAGACTAGAGTTATGAACTTTTGAAAAATACAGTATAATTATAGTTAGCTATAAGACCCCTCCCTCACACAAAGAGTACATGTTCGTAAAACCTGCATATCAATATTGAACAGAGGTGAAAACTCAATACATGCAGAAAATACCATGTGATGCCAAGAGAAAAACGGGCATGTGATTCGTGCCTTAAAAATACCTAATGCCGTAATGCTGCCCATAATCCTGTCTCTCACCAGTCCTGGGGTCTTCATGGGAAATTGCGGGTAGCTACCATACTTTTACTGTTTCCTTTGAATGTAGGCGTTGGCTACTTTCAAGTGTCTACTGAGTACCGACTGCAGTGTGGTAGTAGTGTAGTGGGAAAATGTCTTTCAAAGCCAGTTAACATCTGTCATATACCCATATTCCTGCCTTTCACCAGTCCTGGGGTCTTCATGGGAGATTGTGGGTAGCTACCGTACTTTCACTGTTTCCTTTGAGTCTAGGCGTTGGCTACTTTCAAGTGTCTACTGAGTACAGACTGCAGTGTGGTAGCAGTGTAGTGGGAAAATATCTTTCAAAGCCAGTCAACATCTGTTTCTTGGTGTTTGTGAGTAGCTAGCCTAGCCAGGGGCATGTGCGGTCTTACAGGGGAAGCATCGCTGTTGCTACGTAGCTAATCATACTATGCCCTTCGGCGGCTATGCCACACGGGCCCGCGATGGGACTGGTTCAGTCCCTGCGTCCAGTCTGCCACCCCTTACATTTCTGTGTTACTGTGACAATTTTCACACAGTGTTTTGCAGCTATAAGATGACCTCTACTAGGCAACCCTTCATTTTCTGCACATACTAGAATAGAGTGAAGATCCATTGTAGCTACTGGGGTCCCAATCGACTCTATGGCTAACAAGTGATAATTTGCACAGTGTGCAGTAGAGTATTACTACAAGTAAATAAAAAATTCTGCGAATTAAAAACTGTGGAATATAGGGATGCCATAAAAAGCAAGGAGACAAGACAGGGATGACCTAGTGTATGTGATGCATTAGTACAGTGGGATGATGGTTACATTTTCAGACTGACATTGCTTGCTCGTGTAAATCTTCCTCCACACAAGCCCTATATTGTCGCAAAGCATTACTGTGCTCCCTCATAGAATGACTCATCTCTTAAGCATGTGATGCACAGGTGTTGCCCTCTCTGACAGCTCCTCAGTTTTTGGTTGTGACTGCATTGTGTGCAGTCTAAGACTTCGGTGTTCGCTCAACTAACGATGAGTTTGACAATGCTGTGTTCATGGCCAGCCATAGAATCCCTTTATAGACTGGTCTTAATATTCTTGAGAGAGGGGACTCAACTAAAGAGTGCCGGCTAAATGCACTGTCAATAAAATCTCTTGCTAGCACAAGTGATCTCTATAATTGTACGATGTGCAGCTATTACTCATTTGTTATGCACGAGTGGATCTATGTGTCTCAGCCTCACCATTGACCTCACACTAAACAAATTCATGTCGTGAGAAAAGTGGCGACAATATAGGGCTTGTGTGGAGGAAGATTTACACGAGCAAGCAATGTCAGTTTGAAAATGTAACCATCATCCCACTGTACTAATGCATCACATACACTAGATCATCCCTGTCTTGTCTCCTTGCTTTTTATGGCATCACTATATTCCACAGTTTTTAATTTTTATTTACTTGTCTCCTTTCCATTTTTTATGGCATGCACATGCATTGGGGCATAAAAGTAACATGTATTTATTGCCTCGGACTCTCAGGTAAGTTAAGGACTGGGCCTTCCGCTTGTCGCGCGAGTACGCATACCGCGGTTTGAAATTACATAGTTGCCATGGTATTCATGTCAATGCGTGGGCGCGCCACGCTGAGTCCTCCCAGCTGCGCTCGTACGGTGCGAGTCCCCGCGAGTAGAGGCCCCGGCGAGAGAACGAGCGACGACCCGCCGGCACCAAGCAGAGCTTGGTTAGTGTCGTACCAGACCCTCTCTCCCGTCTGAGAGGGGCTGGCACCGAGACTAGAGCTAAGGCTAGAGGGGCTGCTGGTACCTGGGGTATCTCGGAGCTTATCCTCACACGCACACACGCGAGTGAATTTCCGATGAATCACGTGACGCTGTTTAGAAAGATGGCGATGGCCGGTAAAGTCCACCTTTGTCGAGGCGGTGTAGTTAGACGTGTGCTACGGCGATATTTCTTGGGGCAAAAGATAGGTATACCATCGGTTTGTAATGTATCAATTTTGGATTGAGATTGAAAAACGGATTGGCAGATAAACACTCGGGAGTTGTTCCGATCAAGGTACTGTTTTTTTGCGTTTTTCGCCTGTTTCTCGCTTTTGGTGCCGCGGATCTCTATCCAAAATTGATACCTACTAGATAAGTCCTCTAGGTTTTGTTAGGTGTAGACTTCTCTGCCCATAACCAGCGTCTTCGTGACCGCCTTTCTCGATATTGTCTCGGAGAGCGACGCTACTAAAATTGTACTATCCCATGGATGCGGAAGTGGGCGTGGTCAATGTAACCACGCCCACTTGCGGTTTGATTGAGCTTTATATCAGGCTTTGTTTGACTTCGATATAACCTTTGGTTGGCCCCAAATCTTTTACTTGAACTCAGTTGTTTATTTCAGTCGATTTTGCTTGACCCAGTCCTTAACACACCTGAGCTCTTAGTCGTCATCTACATTTTTATTTAAGTTCCAAAGGTAGATAAGTGTACAAAGTTATAGGAAAAACAGATTGTTAATTGCCTGAGGCTGTTTGTTGTTGTTTACAAACTTGTAATTCCTGTTTCGATGAACTCTCATCATGGTACATCAGTGTACCAAGTTTCATTGTTAGAGGACCCACAATATGCAAGTTATAGGCACAAACATCATTTTATTGCCTGAGGCTGTTTGTTGTTGTTTATAAACTTGTAATTTCTTTTTCGATGAACTCTCATCATGGTACATCAGTGTACCAAGTTTCATTGTTAGAGGACCCACATTAAGCAAGTTAGAGGCACAAGGCATCATGTATTGCCTGAGGCTGTTTGTTGTTGCTTACGAACTTGTAATTTCTGTTTCGATGAACTCTCATCATGGTACATCCGTGTACCAAGTTTCATTGTTAGAGGACCCACCATAAGCAAGTTATAGGCACAAACACATTTTACAAGTTTTTATTGCTGAGCTGTTTGTTGTTGTTTACAACTTGTAATGTTTACATTTTGATAATAATGATGGGTTGTATATGTGTACAAAGTTTTCTCTCTCTGGGTATTAGCTTTACCCAGTTAGCACACTTCATTAGTCTCTATCATAATGTATTGCCTGGGGCTATTTGTTGTTGTTTACATGTAAACAAAATTGTTTACGAAGAAATAAAATGCTCTTGCACGACCTGTCATGGATTCCAATCTTTGTGCAAAGTTTGATCCCCATATCTTACCTTGTTTTTGAGATACGCTTGTTGAAACTGAACAACAACAAGAAGAAGAAGAAGAAGAAGAAGAAGAAGAAGAAGAAAATTGAAAAGTGACTTTTTTAAATAAATCAAGTACCGATTATGCGATTTAAGCTATTTCTTGGATTCATGCCCTTTGTGACGATACAAATTAGTCTGATGTGTCAAAAGTTGGATCTGATTGAAATAGAAAGTGAAACATGAAAATCCCAATGTATGGGCATAATGCAGGACAACCTGTGTCATCCCTATATACCGTACTTAGTGATAAGGTGGCCCTTACCAGAGAACCCTTCATTCTTGCAGATATAGTTACTCAACCAAACACTAGCTACATTCAAAATAATGAGTATAGAATAGAATGAAGATCACCTCATCATAATTATTTTTGTGCTGAGGTCCTAATCTACTCTAAATCACTTTTGCTGACAAGATCACAGCACAAATGTTAGAGAGTGACCCTATAGCTACTCTAGACTCATGCAGCCTCGTTTCCTGTCCAAACACCACTGTGTAGCGTGTAGTATTGGCGAGCGCAGCTACGTAGCCTTCCGGCCGGCTGAATGCGGGAAATTTCTATGACGATTAGAAGTAAGCCGCCGACATTGATCCGCACTGCCACATTTCACATGTTCTATATAGCTATGTGTTTCGCGAAAATCTGCAAAAATTTGAACTGCTCGCGCTCGTGCACCAATCCTACTATATACGTACGTGCGCCGCCTGTCCGACGACTGTGTAGCGCGCGATCACCACGGCGCGCGCACTATCCGACATAAAAAGACCTTCCCTCTCGCAGTTAGTGAGTTTTGCAAATCAGCATCGCATTTTAGCTATGAAGTCCCCTAAGAGGATATTCTATCTCGTAATAACTCTCTATGCCGTTGTTTTAGGTAAGATTTTTGCGATAACATCATGCACTTGCGCATCGGGGGTGGAGGTTAACTCAGGGTTTCCTTCCCTTTCATGCGCTAGCTCCCTGTGCCAGCTACTAGAGGATTACGATGTGCGCCGCTTGTAGTACTTCTCGAAGTATAACTACCTTTTTTTAGTCTGTGGAGGCCAACTGGACATCACAGGGCAGGAGGAGCCGCTGATCATCGGAGTATCCCGGGATATTGTTTGCTCGTGGAGCGGAGATGCTAATGTTACGAAGATGGAGTGGTTTCTTGTCGGGCTCGGAACAGGCGGCGCAATTGAGACAGTGATGGGCGAAAATTCCATTGGGCTCACCCTCAATCCTGGCATTATGGGACTGGATGGGACCGCGTACACCTGCCGAGCAACTCTGTCGGACGGGCGGAGGGTCGAAGAAAGCATTATTCTAAGTGTTAAAGGTAGCGTGAATAACTGCCTGTCGTGATTCGGCATGTTTAGAGTTTATGTTTCAGCGCTCGATAACATAGTGAGCATTGCAGCTATATCAAGTATAGCCATTGCTGGAGAGTCTTTCATCCTTGTGTGCAATGTGTCGTCTGAGAGAGAAGCCAACTTGAGCTGGGTCGATTCAAACGGAGTGGAGAGAAGAGATGATCCGGACACTACCATCTCCTACAGTGGCTGGAATGGAGGAATGAGTACACTCATACTGACAATTAACTCCATTAGAACCTCAGAGAGGGGTGTGTACAAGTGCATATCGGACATTGCGGTCCCTCCTTCAACAACTGAAGCTTCTTTTGTAGTCCAAGTTCAAAGTAAGCCGGGACAAGAAAATTTACTGTTAGCTATAAAGGTACAATTTTAATCATTTGCAGTTCCGGAGCCGACAGTGACGATACTGAGAGCTCCAGAACACCCTGTGCAGCTGTTTACCACTGACTCTCTGGTGCTGACATGTGTAATAGAACTCATTTCAGAGGTGGATTCCTACGTGGCAGTCAACTCTCAATGGAGGGGCCACTCGTCCCTCACTGATAGTGAGAGGAGGGTCATGGTGTCTGAACTGGAGGGATTACACCTTAAGTACAATACATCTGTGACATTTAACACACTGAAAACAACGGACAGTGGCTCCTATACTTGTTCAGCCACTGTTGGCCCTCAGGAACGAAACAACCATCTGATATCAAGCAGTCGCACTGCAGAGACAATCAGCATTTCAGTTGGTATGTTGGTATATAGAGTTTGTAGAAACCCGTATCAATGGGGAATGTGCTGGAACATGATGATGCTTCTATTTTTCAGCCCTGACAGTAACCATTGATGTGACCTACAACCCTCCATCTGATTTCAATCTGCCCAGTCCACCCTACTATCGACCTGCCACATCAGTAACTCTCACCTGCCGTGCTCACGATCCCACTGGATCAGTCAGTTATCAGTGGTCCTCGACTTGTAGCAGCTGTTTTGCAAGAAGCAGCTCATCTCAATCAATCACCAAGACCACATTGCAGTCCATCGATGCAGGAGTACACACGTGTACAGCAACCGATGGCAGTGGAAATACCAGAAGCAATACAACGGAAATGAGGATGAAGGGTAAGTGAATTTTTGCTTGATCACTACACAAGTGAACTTACTATTTCTATAGGAAGCGGAATGTATGTACATCGAAGCTATTACATTAGGGACAGAGCAGTTGCAAACAACAGCTTCATTTTGACGGGGACCTCGTCTTCAACTTAGTTTTTTACTGCCTCTTTCTTTTTAGATCAGTTCTTTATATATATATTTTTATACACAGTTATATTTATATATTTTTTCCTACTGCCTATGTATAGTGGCTGTCATTGTGATTGTTTGTCATTCGGTTTGGACACTGGGTGTGGGGGAGAGTTGGCATGCATAAAAGGCTCTTAACCCACCGCCCAGTTCTCAAGGCTGGGCACCGTGGTCATGCCGTTTGTGTGCAACTGTGTTTTGTGTCTGTGTGTGGGTGAGGATGGGGGTTGGAGGGTGACTTCTGTTTTTCTTTCTTTCTTTTCTATCTCTGTGGCTAGTATGCTATAAATATACTTTTCATGATGTTTACTACACTCAAACTCCACTCGGGGGAACTGATACTTTACATTTCCGGATGGAGTGAGGCAATACTCTACTCATTACCAACTACTACACTGACTAACTCAGTATACACTGGTGTTAGTATTGCACGCTATTCAAGCAGCTACTACCCAAAATATACGGTATATTTACCTTTGAAGTGACAGGACAGTAGAGGGTGTTACGGTTGCAAAAGAATGGGATATATCATTCAAATCCCAGTGAGTTCCTCATTGTTCCATCGACTGTAACTTTTGCTTGCTGCGCATGATACAGTCCACCATATGGTGTACAGCATTAGTACAGTGAGCTCACCTGACTAGTAGCGATGGTGTACTTGGAGAACTCGATGTGTTTGAGCAGAAATCACACCTACTAATGTGACGGGACAAGGACTGGTTCAACGATTGAGGTGGATGGGGAGGGAAGGGAGACGAAAATGATGCAAATGGTGACAGAGCACAGTCGTATTCCAGATCCGAAACACTCTACTCATCAAGGATTGATGGACGAGTGACAGGGGGGGTGAACATAGTTTTTGATGGGACGGCACGGGCTCCTGGACTCGGTCACGTAGCCCATGGCTTCTGGTGCGGTGCATTTGGGTTGATCACAAAACAAGTGAACGTAATATCTGTAGGAAAGCGGAAGTATGGACAGGGAAGGGGACAGAGCAGTTGCCAAACAAACAGCTCATTTTTAGGGCGACCATGTCTTCAAATTACATCAAGGTTTAATGCTTACTCAAACTACACTTAGGGGGGAAACAGGATAGTTCAAGTTCCGAAGGGGAGTAGTGAAGCATACTAGAGCCTCAATTATAAATAATACAGAATTGGACAACTCAGTAACCCACTGGTGTTAGTAGTGAACGCTATTCAAGAGATATAACCACAAATAGACGGTGTATATTTACCCTGGTATGAAGGGCCAGACAGTTTAGAGGTTTACTGTTCGGTGAAACAAGCATCGTGGATACATCTTCAATGCCAAAGGGAGTTACTCATGTCAATCTACAGTACCTTTTGTTGCTGCGCATGTACAGGTCCACCTCTTGTACAGAAGTAGTACAGGGAGCGTCCCAGATAGTAGGTGGTTGTACTGGAGCACTCGATTGTGGAACAAAATCACCACTACTAAGGTGCCGTGGAAAGAGACGGGTTAAATAATGAGGTGGATGGAGAGGATATGAATGATGCAAATTTGACAGACGTCAGCCTTATCCAGTAAGACAGAAAACACTCTACTCATCAAGCATGCGTCGAGCTTGCCTGGGAACAGAGGTTTTTGCTGCGGGTCTCCAATGCTGTGTGCCGGTACCTACTGCTAGTGCTGTTGACCACATCATGGACAGGTGCGCTTAGGAACGCGAACTGACACACACTACTAATAATTGACTTCTTCTTGCTTTTCTTTGTCCTCTGTTGATTCAGCTCATCCGCTGTACATTAGGAAGAGATCGGTTAGACTCTCTATATAGGATGACTCGGGTGAAAATCTCACGTGATCCGCGTACAAAAACGACTAAAAACTCAGTGAGAATCACTCCTAGGCCTTCAAAAGCATACTAGCAATAGTCTACGGGGCCCATATTACTATACATGTCCAAGCTCATAGCACCTTCGTCGTCCAGGCGAGAATTCGCTCATACGCGTTTTTCACGATTTTTGTGTCATCATAATTCTCTTCTTCTTCTTCTTTAAACCGCTATCTCTTACCAGTACAGTTCAAGCACTGATTTTTTCACCGAAGGTCTTCAATTTCCCTGAGGTGTGCACGACATCAAGCGATCGTTTCTTTCTTGCTGCTAGTCACTAGGGTAGATCATGGAGCTCTTCCATGGTCGTCTGAAATAACGCACTTGCTGCTTTACTCAGCATCAGTGAGCCGCTCGCATGGCGCAAGGCATGGGCGTTGTCCAATGCGATAGCGAGCGGAGAGTATTACCTATGGCGAGCGAGTTGGCAGACCTGCCAGGAGGACTCTCAGCTCTCCAGTACCTTCTGTAAGTAGTGTGCCACTGTGCATCGTGGCGTTTTGATTTGCACGAAGAGCAACTTGCCAGAGTCTGCGCGGTGTGTACGCGGAGCCTGCGCGGGGCGCTCAGCTCAGTCAAAGGGCCTTCATTGTTTGCCTGATACCAAGCCTGCAATGAAACACACACCATGCCATAATCTAGTTCATCTTGTGAGACAATGCATGAGGTGGATCCGGTATCTAGCCCATGCTCCGGGCACTAGCATGCCAGCACCCATTAGCTACTACGTTCATTGCAACAGTTACCACAATTTGTCTATGGTAGCGCTATCTACACATAGCTGCATCAGAGTGACTGTAACATATATAAATGCAGTGTTGTCCTAAGCTCTAAAAATAGTGAACAGTGGAAAAATCATTTCTTCAAAATGAAAGGGGATATAGGGATGCTTGAAGCACCAAAAAGGAAGAAACAGAGGGTGTCATTGCACACGATCAAAGTTGCACCAAAGCTACATGACACCATCCGCTATATCTTTGTTGTTATACGCTCTTGCAATAGAGGTTGTCTTGCAGTCAGTACTTAGCTCAGGGGAAACTGCTATAAACATACAAACAAGATATGGAGATGGGGTCATGTAGCTTTGTGCAACTTGCTGTGCACTGAACCTTGTTTCTTCCTTTTGGTGGCTTCATAATCAAGTGGCAGTTCCTCGTTGGTATTGATATCCCACCTTCATTTTGAGAAATGATTTTTCCACTTGTGTAGTTACATTACTGAAGAAGTCCACTCCTGAATGTCCACTCTGTGAAGTCACTCTGCAGAGCTAGCTCGTCCAGCCAACGGTTGCTGCTCACAGCACATCCATCCACTATATGACAGTAAGAGTGGATTGGGACAGACGACAGATCATAATCACGAACACGACGACATCACTGTCAACGCCAGAAGCATCTGTCTCACTGTTGTCACAGATAGCCCTTGTCTTTGACCTCTGAAGAGGCCATGAGGTGGCCTATGTGTGCAGGGCTACACTGACGCTTGCCTGGCTCAGCGGTGTCTTTCCAGAATGTGGGCGCGCGAAATCAACTAAGACGTTTTGAGTAAGACTTATAGCTTTTTATAGGTGCGATCGTCTATGCGTCTATCTTTACGTCACAGACATGACTTTTATTCAACTAAAGTTGGCCCAGTTTCCCCAGTGCATTAGCTCAATGGGGTAGGAAGACAAGTAAACTATCGCACAAAACCCATGTTGCGAACCAAGTTCAGTCATACTCAACCAGCGGCTGACGAGACATATGCAGTTTGTGTCTAGTTTTGACTAGATCATTGCTTCGGTTATTAAGGTAGAGTATAGCACAGTGATGATGAATTGATTTCCAGCACATGTCGAGACCATCGCTGACGGGATGCAAGCAGACACTAACCAAGCTCACTCATCAACAGAATGCAGTGGTGACTTCAAATATCTCTGAGATTGCTCTGGAGAGTTCAGCGTGTCGCGCCATTGAAAATGGCTCTCGTTCTATACAGGTAATGTGCCTCGAAAGTGCCTCGAAGAAGACTGAATATACTCAGCTATGATAACCACACTCTGAATCCTCAGGGCAAGCTCACTGGAAGGACGATACTCAAGAACATCACCGTCACTGCTGGAGGTGATCAAGGACTGGATGCAAGACGGGACATTCCTGTACACCTATCATGGGAACATGAGACTGGGACTGGACCAAGACTGTCCGCTGGAGATTGCCTCCTCTCCCAGCCAGAGTGCGGAAGCATATTACTGAATGTAGGAATGCCAGGAGAACAATAGACTTGTTGACTGTTAACAGTGCTATATTATACCTGTGTGCCAGTTTGCAGTACTAGCTAATTGTTGTCCAGTTGTATAGCGCACTGGGCAGAATAGGTTGTTATGAATGTGTGTAGTGTGAGATTGCGTGCTTGTCATTATCAAAACAAACTGATATTAGTCTCGTGCCAGACCCCGCCCTCAAGAGAGGAAAAGGGTATGGTGACTATTGAGCGTTATTCTTGGGTGTGCTGATCTATCATGTCGAGTGCATGCGCAGTGAATAATTGCCTGTTTTTTGTTTCATTCGAGGACACGCGGAATCCACACAGCAATGCGTTACGATTCTTACATAACATCATGTGATATTCATTGTGTGGCAAATACCGCAATCTGATTCGGTGTCTCAAAAGTAAGGCCTGCGAGTCATACAACCAGAACACCAAAACCCTCAATAGTCACAGACCCTTTTCCTCTATTGAGGGAGGGGTCGGGCACGAGACTAAACTGCAATGTGCAAACATCGCGTTACGTTTCAAAGGTGGTTTGGATTGCCAAAATGTGTTCTAAATCTTGTCATATACACCAATATGTGTCTCCGACCAAGTAATATTTGAACCATGTGTGCTCTTACACAACACCTTTTCAATGATAGTAGTGGGAACCAACGAAAATCTTCAGCCACAGAAAAACTGGATGCGGTTTGATTTTAGAATGACGTTTAGACTGGTTTTTATCTAAAATACATGTTGTCATAAGAAACTGAATACGCCCTGCTACCAGTTTGTGCAGTGTGCTGCTTGAGCACAGGCAATTTGCAGCTATAAACATCGCGCAGCTCCAGACAACACGGTGTCTTCACCGGGGTTGCACATTTTGTGAAAAACTAAATGTGACATGAATAAATAATAGCAGTGGGTGAGGATAGATAATGGGCAAATGAGCAAGTGATAAATAAAGTGTGTGAAATAAATGAACGAGCAGCGATTTATAGTGTTAGATAATATTAATGAGTACTGATTGAGATATTATAATATTAGATGAGCACAGTGCATGAATGTGAGATGTAAGAAGTTTTTGCTCGTGTTTTAAGCGATCATCTTTCCTCTTTAGAAAAGCTGGATAAAAGAACGCACAACACAAGTCATAGATGGTATCAAGACAAAGCAGGGTGCTCACCCAATCTGTTCCTCAGTTCATTTCATTTCCAGGGAATTTCGGGGTCGGATCATCATGGTCCTGACCACACACAACACGCGACTGCAGAAAAGGAATTATCCGCCAGTCAAAACTAGCTACACTACATTGAGCTTGGTGGCTAATGCAGTGTGTACAGCACAAACCCCAGTAATGTGTAGAGCCATTACTCACGGCTTCAATTGCTTGATAGATGAGGATAGATACGGTGAGAGCCTCTTTCTTGGTGTCTGTCGTGGCAAGTAAAAACTGGCTGCGGAAAGCAAAAGAACAAGAGAAGGTAAGTGTGTGCTACTGTCCAAAACGAGTGGGGGTGGGATGGAGAACAGACACTCACAGTTCCAGTCTCAGGTTGCAGTCTTTTTTTGGTGATGAAGGAGTCAGAGGAGTGAGAGACTGTGGGGAGAGGTAGGTGAACCACTCCTGTAGGACGTGGTGACCGGAAACATCCTCTTACTATCAACACCACTTCCATCATCATCAGTCACCTCTTCACTGCGTTTCATTCCTCATCATTGTCGGACCATTTCGCACCAATATTCATCGGTCTATTCACGGTAATGATCAGGATCCTCCCCCACTTATCAGGACATTGTAGTCACTCTAATCACTCAGTTCTTCCTGAAAACAGTGTCCTCCTCCTCATTTTCAAGATTCAATATCAGTCACTTCACTGTAATCATCAAGGTCTCATAAAACACCAATCATCACTGGTGTTTCCACCATCACAAGTTCTCTTCATAGTAATCATCAGGGTTTCATCCCTCTCATTTCCAAGACCTTCATCTTCACCTGTGGCCTCTCACTTTCCTCACCAGTTTCTTCAGGCGACTCATTGTAGGAAACACTTTCACCACCATGACCCTGTTTGTCGCATCTGTTCCTTTTTTCCCTTCCAGCTCTACAAACAGTTTTTCTTCTTTCTTTCTCACTCTTGGATATTGAACCAAGACATCATTTCGTCATCTCATTCTCATCCACTTTTACCCGCAGCATTGCAACTCGCGACTCACCTCTTTCTGCGTGATCGTTTGCAGCACATTCTTGTCCACTTCATCCTCTCTAGTCTTCAGCATTATTGCTTCCTCCTCATTCTCACACTCAGAGAAGGAGCTAGAGCGATTGTCGCTGTTTGAGAGAGAGGTGTCGCAATCCTCAACCTTGTTTGGCTCAGATCAGTTTTCATCCACTTGGTACAACTGTAGTAATATTACATACTCTTTAGCTAGTCAAAACATACATGGCCTACTTGCTACTTACAAAACATTCACATCAGGAGTGTGTTTCAGTTCATCATGGACCAACCTCAGTCTCAGTCTTGGAGGTACTTCTTAATACATCGTCTCATATGAACCTCTTGATCTCCTATTCTAAACAATAATTATTCATATGCACATTGATGTGAATCTGGCACTTTTGTTAAAACACCATACAACATACGTTGGGCATATGGGACTGTTCAAACTCCACCCATTCTATGCTCTGCTGGAGATCTGTAGCCTAGGTACACTAACCTTCATGTGAAGAGCGTCATTCTCGCGCCAGAGAATCTCAAACTTGCTGTTGGCAAGCGATCACCCCCCCCCGTTTGACCCCATATTTACTTGGGGGGCATGCGCCCTACTGCCTCGACGAAACAATTCATCAGTTTTTGTAAACACCAATTATGTAGTCGATTACTGAGCTAACACACAACACGTTCTGCTTCAGAAACCTTGGAACTCCCCCATCACAAATGACGCCACGCACCACGGTCGCTAGAGCGTCGTGTTTTTATAGCAACACCCTGAGCCATGCGATATAAAGAAGCAGGTGCGCGTTTCTCCCAGACTCCCTTTTCTGCCAAACACAACTAGCCTATTTTATGTCGGTATTCATGGGTGTTTCTTCCCGACTACAAAAATGACAGATAGTTCTATTGCTATGTATATGATCAGGACTTTTAACGTATATATATTAGCTAGCTAATGTTAAAAGGTTTCCATTTTACATATAATCTACTTCCATATCCTCTCCCCCATACTAGACAACACCATCGCACCACAGAGCAATAAAATGAATTGCTATACATTTACTCATGGTACAATCTTTAGATAAGCTAACTTCACGTGAAAAGTACGTTTCTCTTGCGCAGGGTCTCATCTATGCACTGGCAGTGATCGGATTCACCCACTTCCCTTGGGGGCATGTGCGCCCTATTGTCTCGACGAAAAAAAGCTTCCTCAGTTTTCCGAACACAAATTGTTTAATGACGCTAACACAACACCATCTGCTCACCCAACATGAACACCAACAAAAAATGAGCGTTCGCGTCCCAGAGCGGCGTATTAAGCAACAACATGTGAGCATGCGCAATAGGCCAAGTGTGAGCTTTTCATGTGAACCGTATCTCGCTCACTGGTAACACTCAACCATTACATTAGTATATGTGACCTGCTCTTCTGTTAAACTGCTACATTAATCGACAGACATAACAGCTCTATACTATAACGGTAAAATTATGTCAGCTGTACCTACACTCGAGAAAACCAGGAATACGATTCACTCATCTATTATACATAGTCTGTTGCTACACTAGTCATTATAAAGGTGAAGTTGTAAAGCTAGGTTAGCTACACTAACCTTTCACGTGAAATCGTTTGGAAGTTATGTTCTCTAGGGCAGTAATGCCTGTAAAACGACCTGTTCGTCTCCTTTTTCCTCGGGTTGCATTTGCGCAGTACCGTCTCTGCGAAGCCAACCTTCGTCTGTCGCAGAAAACACATGTACTCTGCTTTATTCAGCAGACACCTCTACACAAAACGACTCGCTAGGAAAGCTAGTCTGATAGCGTCACGTTTGGCGCATGCGCAGTGCCGCCGCATTTTGAAATGACGCCCATCTATAGCTTGCGCCGTCTTCCGCCCATTACATTATGTTGCGCATCTCTTGCGCACTAAGTAATAGTATTTTGGTACAGCTAATGTCGAAGTATGATCTAAATGTCAAAGATTCAATCGGGAGTGGCTTGCCTCCACCCTGCTCCGGGCCAGTGTATATAGCAATGCTGTCCGTGTCTCACACAAACAATCTCAGAATTCTCTCTAAACTGATGGAGAAGACGTCAACTATGTATCTTGTTTGTAACAAAGCCACTGAAGTTTAATGTGAACCAGACACCTAAGTAACAGTAAAACTATACGGCACCACAGAAACATGCTCATTAAATAATTTGACTCTCATATTTTGCACTTCTGAGTTTGCGATGGCACCTTGGTCATGGTGCAGTATAATATGTGACGGTATAGTTGAACCTACTCCCCTTCTATCAAGTCTTACTGTAGAGTCCGTATGGGAATTGGATTATAATGTCGCATGAGTTTCTCAAAATGGATGTAGGGCATGATGCTGGATAAACCTGTGTCATGCCCTATAATATTCTTTTATCGTTAATGGCACGTCATAATTGTGTCCAACAATGCTCCAACCTTTTGAAGGAAACCAGTCCTAGACATTGGTAGCTTTTGTGTTGTTGCTCATGAGTTGATTAGTTATCGCCATTGCTAAGAGACTGGGATTGACTTCCAGCAGAAGATCAATCTATCATACCATCGGACATCGGAAGGAACTAGCTGCTCAAGGTAGTACAATGAAAACCGAAATCAGCATCAACACATTACCTATTATCAGGTACATGAGCCGCATGTGATGTCAGGTGTGTGTGGTGGCAATGTAGTCTCTGTGTCTGGAGCCAGATGTCACTATTCATAAAATCATGAGGGACGTCTGTTCTAGGGGTGGATGTGGTCTCAGCTTGTGCTTGACTCTCCTTCTCCCTCCTGACCTCTGACCCTGACTCCACCCCCTCAATCTCACATATCAGGTCTCAGGACTCTGGCTCCAGACGATCGAATCCTGTCGCTTTGCTGCTTGCCTGGCACCTTCACCAGTTTTAGTAGGCTCTGTGGATGGAGACGTCACACAACAGTCGTAATAGCAGGAGTCGAGAAGATAAAAAACATCAGCATGAATAGAGAACTGGTGGATTAAACTTCCCAATTATTCCTTTCCAGCCTGCAGAGCTCCTTGATACATTAGGCATTTTTGGCGAGCAAAGGCAAGCAGTTCAATATTTCACACGAAAATACACCATGTGATGCCAAGGAGAAGAAGAAGAAAAAAGATGAGAGCTCTGGACAGCTGTTTCGGGCTTGTTGGCCCTCATCAGCAGAGCATACCACAACTTCTCATCTCTGGCACCATGAGTTTATAAGGGCTAAGTTGAGCGCAGCACTTGTGGTTTTGAACTAATGAGATTCATCCCCACAAGGCTTTGCCGCGCAGCGCTGTGGTTCTGAGCTAATGAGATTCATCACATCCCACAGGCTTCGCCAGAGTACCACAGCCAAAAACAAAACGAACTCAAAATACTGACAACGGATTGGGCTGCGGCAATGAAGCCAGCAAGCACCCAATCCTGCCAGTGCATACACATGAAAAACTACCACCATGTGATGTATTTTAAAATCAGTATGTGGAGTCCACCCACTGTTATATACAGTTAAAAATCCCGCATTCAGACTACACGAGAGGCTCACTTCACTCGCCAATTATACCTGAGAGAGTCTAGTGACTGCTGATTCATGAGAGTCTGCTGATTGGGGAGGCTCCGAGTGAGTCACTGATTTGGGAGGCAAATCATGTGGGGAGGCCCCTGAGACGATTGTGCTGATTGGGGAGGCTTCTGAGATGAGTGATCTGGTTGGGGAGGATCCTGTGATGGTTCTGCTGGCAAAGCTTCTAATTTGGAGGGTTTCCTATTGTAGGTTCTGAGTAGTCGACGCACAGCCCTGTGACGATCACCAACACCGATAACTCGTAGCAGTGAAGGAACACCGGCTGCGATATCCAGGGCTGTGAGTCCATTCTGAAAAAAGGAAATTTAACACTCAACTCATTGCACACATTATGGAATACAGTGTAACCTCAAAAAAGGGACCCTCCGAGATAGGGACAACCTGTCTACAAAGGACACTTGTTCTAACTCCACACTAATACTTAAATTGACCTTTTAGATAAGGATGACCTCTCTATAAGGTACTAAATCGAGTGTCCCTGGTTCCACTGTCATACACACTTGCTGTTTACACGAGTTACACTTTAGCGTTTGTCCTAAGTTCGATTTCCGACATCACTGTTTTTTCCTCTTTTCTTTTTTCAAAACCTTTTTTCTTGCTATATTATTATTCATGATGGCTTATTCATGCGCGTGCAATGAGTTAAGAGTGTTAGCTATCCTCACATAATCTCTGAGATGTGGGTTAGCCCCTGCCTCGAGTAGCAATTCTGTTGTTGCTGCATCTCCTTCATCGACGGCAAAGAAAAGAGCTGACCATCCATTGGTCTGGTGTGGAGAGAGAAGAGAATCGACGATTTGCTATAAGAAATTCTTTTACAGTTTGAATATCAAGAGCGATGTTGTCTCCTGACAGTAGTATCTCTGTGATATCAGTTCTACCAGATCTCGAGGAGATAATCAGGGCGGTCAACCCCTCCTAATCAGGGAGAGATTACTAATTAGTGAGACCTTCCAGCAGTGAGTGAGGAATAACCTGGTTCTGCAGGTTGAGGTCAGCTCCAGCTCTGACCAGCTCCTTCAGGACTGACAGATTGTAGAGTGTGGTAGCCACTATCACAGCTGAGTCTCCATCCTATAGAGAACAAAGCTGACACTTAACACTACTGGCATGGGAGCTCATTCTACCTTATTCTGTAGGTCAATGTTTGCTCCAGCTTCTATTAGCAGTGAAACAACTTCAGTCCTACCCCACCTTACAGCCATCATCAGTGCAGAGACTCCATTCTGTGTGGGTGTTGTGGCACACTATGACTTCATCACACACAAGATAACCACTAAGATGTGATATTGTTATGTCGAGATCATTCATGTGAACTATGGGGTGGAAAGGCAAAGGCACAACAAACAAGTCAACTAAACCCAGGACAGCTCTTTATATCAAGAAGAGCTACGCTATGTGGGATTCAAACCAACGACACTCTGTATTCTAGGCGAGCGCTCTACCAGCTGAGCTACCAGGGCACTAAGCTGGTAGGGGTTCAATCTTCAACACAAGTGGAAAAATCATTTCTTCAAAATGAAGGGGGATATAGGGATGGCTAAAAACATGAAAAGTAAGAAACAAGTGGTCATTTCACAGCTAACACACACAAAACTACATGACACCATCCCTATATCTTTGTCTGATATTATTTTGCAAATGAATCAATAGGACAAAGATTTAGGGATGGTGTCATGTAGCTTTGTGTGTCTTAGTAGCTGTGAAATGACCCCTTGTTTCTTATTTTTCATATTTTGAGCCATCCCTATATCCCCCCCCCCTTCATTTTGAAGAAATGATTTTTCCATTCTTTTTATGAAAAGCTCAGACAAATCAGCGCAGAGGCTCAAAATTGTTGTAGTAGCTAGACACTCACTGTGTCCAGCAATGCATACATAGCTCTCATTAGAGAGTCGGTAGACTCTCTATATAGGGATGACACGGGTGAAATCTCACATGATCCGCGTACAAAACGACTAAAAACTCGGTGAGAATCACTCCATATGCCTTCAAAGCATACTAGCAATAGTCTACGGGCCCATATCTACCTATACATGTCCCCCAAGACCTCATACGCACCTTCAGTCGTCCACGCGAGAATTCGCTCATACGCGATTTCACGATTTTCGTGTCATCATATCCTTCTTCTTCTTCTTCTCCTTCTTCTTCTTCTTCTTCTTCTTCTTCAGACCCGCTAGCTCCTTACCGGAAGCACTTGAAGCGTTGATTTTTTCACAGAACGTCTCCGAATTTGCCGGAGGTGTACACGCATATCAAGCGATCGTTTGTTTCTTGCTGCAAGTCACTACGGTAGATCGTTGAGCTCTTCCTCGGTAGTCACTGAACAATGCCATTTGCTGCGCCGAGGAGGGGGCGTTTCCAATGCGGTGCGCGCGCATTTTGTCTCGTAAACCTGGTCCACGAACGAGACTAAGCCAGGACTGGATGCCTGCAGAGAAAATGAAAAGCACTAAAGTGCAAACCCTCGGCGAACTGCGCATGTGCGGTACCACTAATTGATGGACTGGGTTTTTTATGCCTTTATCCCGCTAGTAGCTCGCGGGGAGTCTGGCACGGGCTAGCTACAGTAGTAAATAGCATGCGTGAGTCGATACATACCCTTCGTTGTGACTTGTTGTGCCTTCAAGACACACATAGCGAACGGACGCGGTCGAGGTAAGCCTGTGTTAATTTACATATTGGCTTGTTCACTTGGTTTTCACGCCATAACTTTAAACTACAGTAGTATGAAGTGTTAGCTAAAGTCACGCGGTGTTTACCTAAAGTCATGCGGTGTTTGCCTAAAGTCGTGCGACGATTGCTAGGTTTATACGTAAATTCACGCGACGTTTAGGCATGGTCCAAAAAAAATAGTTCTGAGGCAAACGGCACTTCATAGAGTATTGGACAGGAAGTACTTATCACAAAATCTAGCGCTACGCGTAGTGCACAACTGCATTAGTGCAGGATGACACAGCGGCATTGTGATTGGCTAGTTGGACTAAACGTCAAGCGTCTCGGGGCGTACAGGATATCCTCTTCGGCTGTTAACTATACCGGCCTCGGGCTACGCCGAGGTAATGTACTGCTCTGGTTCACTGAGAAGCACTTTTAACCTCGCGGTTCTCTCAGGGTCACTTTTCAGAGAGAGTGATTTTGCATTTCTACTTGATGGACTTGTTCCAATACGACGAACAAATGTTGTGTGTGCTGGCAACGAGGACTCCCTGTCAGAGTGCTCCTTCAATGGAGCCGATGGAGACCCAACCTGCACTCATAGAGATGATGTCATCATTATGTGTGCAAGTATGTTTCCCTTTACCATAATTGGTGAACGAAGTGAACCTACCTAGCAGTTCAAATGGCATATTATTTTTACAATGTCACTATACAGCAAGTTGTCTAAGCCGAAGTTCACACTCACACCCACTTGACATTTCATGACATCACCCTCTATCTCGCAGCTCAGAGTGAGTGTAATGAGGGAGATGTTCGGCTGGTAGACGGCCAAACATCAACTGACGGACGAGTGGAAGTATGTCTTGAAGGGTTTTGGGGCTCAGTGTGTGATGACAGATGGGACTCCAGAGATGCTCAAGTCGTGTGTCGGCAATTGAATTTCAATGGACGTAAGTTTCTCTTGAGTGGTGCATGTAAGTGCACTGAATCTTACTGGGCCTTTAAAAAACCTTTGTCCTATATAGCATCGTATCCACTGCTGAATTTTGGAGCTAACCAATCGTCCACCATTCACCTGGATGATGTTCACTGTATAGGATCTGAGGAGAGAATCACTGATTGTAGCCACAGTGGAATAGGGATCAACAATTGCCGTGCGGGCACCGAAGAAGCTGGAGTCATATGCACAAGTATGTGCTATCAAGGGGAGGGGGAGCAACTGACCAATAGTCACACATTCACCTAAGAGATAAAGCCTGTTTAGCACACGATAATATTGCCCCTATGCCCACAAGAGAGAGCACTTTATGTATGAATGATGTGAGTTCATCTTAGATCACTGAGATCGGAGTGTTCACACTCGCCCCTCTAACTTTCATTCACTATTTAGTACATAGTGTGCATGAGTGAAATATGTAACATCCCCGTGCTCACAGTTCTAATTGCTCAGGGAGACGGCGCCTGACGAGTGGGCAAGTCTCAGAGTTATCACCTCGACTTATGAGGCTGTTCATACTTCTCCTTCTTACTCTCCTTCTCTCTCTCCATACATTACGTGCACGGGTTATATAGGATACGGTTAAGAAAACCACAATTACCGAATACAATGGAGGGAACTCCCCTATTTCACTAAAACTGTAGCTTGTATGTCGATGCATCTCCATCTTGACTGTGCAACCTTGTCTATAGACACAACATGTGAGGATGGGACAGTCCACCTGGTGGGAGGAGACGACGTGTCCAGAGGGAGAGTTGAGTACTGCTATCAGGGAGCCTGGTACTCTGTGTGTGCCAGTGACTGGGATGACAGTGGGTTGGAGGCACAAGTTATCTGCGGAAATCTGGGCTATCGACTTGGTAGGGCTACATGTCATAGTACTGTTACTAAAGATAGAACTAACATTTGGGAGTATGCACTACCACATTAACTTACTATTTACTAATCTCTTCAGAATCTACTGTAGTGAACTACAGGCGAGGTAATAGTCCAATTCTACCATTCAGTATCAGCTGCAGTATAGGTGACAGTGAGCTTGATGACTGTGCTAAGACTGCACTTGATACCAGCCAGTGTCCACATGTGGCAGGAGTCAACTGTGAAGGTTAGCTCAATATCCTGGCTCTCCTGGACGAATTTCCCCTACTGCGGCCCAGTACACTGACTGATATGTGTGTGGGTGTGTGTGCTACTCTAAACATTATTTTGCATTCTGAAATAATGTGAATATATAGCTACATTCTAAATGCAATCTGCATTTTTCAAGGCTGTAGAAAAGTGGGTATTTAGAGTTGTTAACTATGCACCAGTTGTACATACAATGCAAATTTGAGTATTCATTGTAATGCAGATGGCCCAAGCTTATATTTCAGTAGAGTCGAGTTTATTTGGCCTTGTTAATCTCGGCGCTCATGCGCAGCGAGGTTTACAGTACTTGGTCTGAAGTTTGTCTGTACGTCTGTCTGTCAGTCTGTCTGTCTGTCTGTCTGTTACCACGTTTTCTGCAACCACGCGCAACGAGACAACGAATGAGCGATACCAAGATAAATCTAAACGTATATCTAGCTGAGCGGGTATCCCGACTGCACCAACCGCGGGTAATTATACCGATCCCTCCGCGCCTGCACTCAGGCGCGCGCGTTTGTGATTCGCATGCGTATGCATCGAGCATGCGTATAATATACTGAGCTCAGTGTGGCTTCATTCGTTGTTGTCCCGTGGAAAGCTACCCGCATAATGGTTAGCAAAGGTCTGGGTTAGCGTAGATGAACGCCACTGTACTAGCCTCGCACGCGTTTTACAGACCCTTTTTCCTTCAGCCCTTCAGAGCACACGCACACATTAGCTAACAGCCCTTGTTCCCAGGTCTAACTTTGTTAATCAGTATCTTCGACTTTTCGGGATACTTCTGATACTTGAGCCATTCATTCGTGATGGTGATATTCTCAGTCCTGGAACCAAATTGTTTTGTCTGATTTCCGCGTGATCATGGTTGTGTTGTGTACTTGTAATTTGATGAGATGATAGTTTCTGTCGTTCTTCGATTTCATGTTCCTATGCTTTAGGACATGTTCACTGTTTATCGTTTCAGGCATGTTTTATAAAGCCAGTCTGGGTCTTTTAAATATGTTCATTGGCCTAGAGTCAGTCACACACTCAGATTGTGACAAATAATATTGCTAGACTAAGCTATGTGATTAACACATACATATAGTCCAACCCACATGCGTGTGGTACCACGCTGCTGAGGGTTTTGCACTTTAGTGCTTTTCATTATTACGATAATGTTACAGTTCAGATATTGTGGAAAAGCCTGTAGCTTAGCTAGCAACAAAGGAAATGCGCAGCATAATAAGGACTATATAATGGCTCTACTCAGCAGCACTTTGTTACATGACATGGGGGTACATCAGCAAATTGACCACTACTATAGCAAATTATACTGAAAAGGCTGCTACTTGCGTTGGTCCCTATTGTATTTAGCTCTGCATGTTCACTTTACTATGCCATGTCACCTGACCTCATTACCCAGCAGTTTGTTTAAGGTTCACAAAAACAGTTTTCAGTGTCACTTTTGGGAAAAGCTCTCTATTGTAAACATTTATTAACCTGTATATATATATATATATTTAGGCAAGAATGTGGAAACAGAAGATGAGAGTGAGAAAACATGTTTCTCCAAAACACATGTTGTTGCCATATCCATTGGTGAGTGTTTTGTATTGTTGAATTTTGAACTATACTCCAGTCTCTCCCTTACAGGGAGCACACTAGTTGGATGTGTTTTAGCATCAACTACCACCGCAGTTGTGTTTGTGGTGGTTGGACTCTGCCGTAGACACAAGACATCCATAAAATCCGTAATCCGTAAAGGTTCTTAATGCTTATGTCTTGTTATCTCCATTTAGCAGGAGGAACAGAATTACGTTTTCACGTTGAGCCATTAACATACATGACACAGCTTTGTTGCATGATACATGTGTACTCTATAGGTATGATGGGTGCATGCAACAAGTTACATGAATGTCTTCCATTGCATACACCCATTATGTGAAGTTGCACACAACAAGTTGTGCCCTGTATCAGTACGTTCTGGTCATGACTGTATGGGGGTTGAGCAATAATCTCAGTCTTTTCCCATTGAAGTGGCTACCCTCCAGACAAGAAATTCTGCAGTGTATGATGAGGTGGTTCTTCCTCCAGCCAACCCTTCCTCCATCATTCCAACTGAACCCAACACAGCCTACGTCACTAACACAGTGTCTCAGACTCGTCCCATCACCACCGAACCTAATGTAGCTTATGCTGTTCACTCATCTCAGGTGTAGCTAAAATTGATTTTTTGCAAGCCACTACGCCACGCACCGTTAAACATTGCAGGAAACACCCAATTACTCACCAACAATGTTTAACATTCTCCTAAAACAGCCACAGAATAATATTGCCACAGAATAATTCATTTAATGAATTTTTCTGTGGCTGTTTCCCATCAATGTAGGTTTCATTGTATATAAAACATGAAGATTGTGGAGAGTCCCCCAGCACTCGAGTACTGAGTTGTCATACATTGTTTCCTTCAAAATGTGTTTGAAAAATGTACACAGAGTTGTTTGAAGAATCCAGCAAACACTCCACCTGCATTGTAGCTAGGCACTGTTGTTCCAAATGGAAAAGTTGACTTATTTAGTGTCATACATTATTCATATTTACTACACATGCGCGTTTGAAAGTGAGTTGAATAACATCTGGACTTGGGTCGAGCGTCATTACTTCAATATGAAAATCTTATCCATTGCATCTGCACCAATGCTGATGTACAGTCTTCCACCTTGTCCAAGTCTTGGAATAAGTGCCTGATATGAAGGCAGTATAGGTCTGCGATTATAGTCTAGCCAGTGGGCCGAATTGTTAACAAAACTGCAGTAATGGATGTTGTATAATACTTGCTGTTATTGTTTTGGCCTTCGTGAATCCTGGTGTGGCAATAGTGAACTCTATGTGTAAACCACTTCCTCCCGACTTATTGTAGTTTCGTCATGCCATTATTGGTAAAGTCAAAGTATGATGTCCACTATATACTCCATTTGTGTCATTAATAGAGATTCCTGTATATACCGTTTGATGAGACAACAGCCACACTGCACTCAACCAACTTAAATTTGGCCCAGTGGTCCACTGCTCCAAGTGGTATATACTAGGAATGCGCACGCGCATATCTTGCCTCGCGCTTGCCAGCCAATGCGTGCGTAAACAGTCCGCTGAGGCCGCTCGTTCGCGCGCTCTACTGACTGCGCGAAGCCAGACTTCCTACGAATCTGCGCGCGCGCACGGCGGAAGCTAGACTTCTTACGAATGACGGAAGTTGACATTCCTAAGCGTGACCAGTTTACATTCCTAATGGTGACTAATTTACATTCCCCAAGCGTGACTAATTGACATTCTCAAGCGTGACTAATTGACATTCTTAAGCGTGACCGACACGTACGTACGCATATCGCGAGAATACAACCCGGAGTATTAGTAGCTCGCGCTAATGCGCTCGGCAATGAAGACAGGGTAAACCTCCATTTCTAACCAAAACTTGTAACTATATGATCTCTCTTTCAGCATATGGCATTCCAACTGGAATTCAACATAAAACGGACTCTGGCAGATATAACCAAAAATTGCAGTTGTGGTTTCAGAGCATCACAGATCGACCACGGAGAGGTTAGCTGCCGCAGCATAGCTGATGGTCATGTGTCTACAGGTAAAAACAGAGATGCTTGGTTTATAGGGCAGATAGCTGGTTCTAAAGGGGGCGATAGTGTTACCCCCTCCCACTTGCATGAGTGGAAAAATGCTAAAAACCACATCATGTATGAATCCACATGCATGAAAGTACAGCCACATGTATGTATATACCCATTATAGAAGTATAGTCATTCTTGCACAGGACAATGAAGGATTGGTCTTTTTCCTCGCAGGGCTAGTCTGACTGGAAGCTGTGACGATCCCAGAGCTGCTGGAGGTGATGAAGGACTGGATGGCCAATGACGGGACATTCCTGTACACCTATCATGGGAACATGAGACTGGGACTGGACCAAGACTGTCCTCTGGAGATTGCCTCCTTCTCCCAGCCAGAGTTCAGAAATAACCATTTCAAGACTGAAATGAGAATAGAGTTATGAACTTTTGAAAAATACAATAGTTAACTCTTAAGACCCATCCCTCACACAAAGAGTAAACGTTAATAAAACCTGCATATCAATATTGAACAGAGTTGCAAATTTAATGATACATGAAATTATAGTTCATAGCATACCAGCCATAGGTATATTAGAGAGTCGGTAGACTCTCTATATAGGGATGACACGGGTGAAATCTCACGTGATCCGCGTACAAAACGACTAAAAACTCGGTGAGAATCACTCCCTAGGCCTTCAAAATATACTAGCAATAGTCTACGGGCCCATATCTACCTATACATGTCCCCCAAGAGCTCATACGCACCTTCAGTCGTCCACGCGAGAATTCGCTCATACGCGATTTCACGATTTTCGTGTCATCATTTCTTTATCTCCTTACCAGTTACCAGTTCAAGCACTGATTTTTTCACTGAAGGTCTCCAATTTCGCCGGAGGTGTGCACGGACATCAAGCGATCGTTTCTTTCTTGCCGCTAGTCACTACGGTAAATCATGGAGCTCTTCCATGGTCGACCTGAACAACGCCATTTGAGCCGCGCGCATGCGCCAGGCAGGGGCGTTGTCCAATGTGCTATATAGCGAGCGTATTACCAGATCCTTCATTGTTTGTCCCCCTCCCCCTCAGGTTGTAGCCGGATTACCAAAGCCTGCCAATGAAACCACAACCATGTACATCCTTACAATACATGAGGTGAATGCGGTATCTAGTCCCTGCTAGCAGCTGCATTAGCTACTACTTTCAACAGTTACAATTTGTCTATGGTAGCCTATCTACAACATACCCATGAACATCAGAGTGACTGTAACAATAAATGCAGTGTTGCCATAAGCTGTTAAAAATAGTGGAAACAAGTGGAAAAATCATTTCTTCAAAATGAAAGGGGGATATAGGGATGGCTTGAAGCACCAAAAAGGACATTACACAGCAAAATTGCACAAAGCTACATGACACCATCCCTATATCTTTCTTTGTTGTTTATAAGCAAATATCGAACAAAGATATAGGGATGGTGTCATGTAGCTTTGCTGTGTAATGACCCCTTGTTTCTTCCCCTTTGGTGCTTCAAGCCATCCCTATATCCCCCTTTCATTTTGAAGAAATGATTTTTCCACTTGTATAGATAGATAGATAGATAGATAGATAGATAGATAGATAGAGAAATAAATAAATAAAAACCACCACCGCCTTAAAAATACCTAATGCCTCAATGCTGCCCATATTCATGTCTCTCACCAGTCCTGGGGTCTTCATGGGAAAGTGTGGGTAGCTACCGTACTTTCACTGTTTCCTTTGAGTGTAGGCGTTGGCTACTTTCAAGTCTCTACAGAGTACCGACTGCTGTGTGGTAGTAGTGTAGTGGGAAATCTTCAAAACCAGTCAACATCTGTTACTTGATGTTTGTGAGTAGCTAGCCCAGCCAGGGGCATGTGCGGTCTTACAGGGGAAGCACTGTTGCTCGTAGCTAATCATGTTATGATTATACACTGCAGCTATGCGCGCATGCGCTAACGTACGCAGATAATAATGCGCGAAGAGGAGACTGCGGGGCAGTCTCTGGCGAAATGTTGGTTGCTGCCAAGCGTGCCGTTCGTGGATCGGCTTTTCTTTTGCTCGTCGAGTTTCTTGGTAAGTAAAATAGCAACCGTTTCTCAAAGAGCAAAAAGCCGTGACGAAACATCTAGCTTTAGTTGCAGCGGAGCCGTGTTCCACTGACGGACTAGTGAGACTGGCGGACGGCTTGACGGCGAACGAAGGAAGGGTTGAGATCTGCCTCGATGGAGAGTGGGGTACGATTTGCGATCATCACTGGGGCTCGTCCGAAGCCAGTATCGTTTGCCAGCAGCTAGGATTACCCGCGGAACGTAAGTAGCTAAACCCTCAGTAAAAGCATTAATAAATGTGTTCCTTAGATGCCGATGCCATTTATCGATATGGTGGCGGCTCGGGTCTTATACACTACGCTGGATTTAGGTGCAATGGTATGGAGACGCAGCTTTCGCTCTGCCCGGCTGACCAAAGAAACTCGAGTACCACACAAATCACAAACTGCCAACACCTAGAAGATGCAGGAGTGCGATGCACTAATGGTACGCCAAGGTGTTGCCCCCAAGAGTGTGATATGACCTATTAACTTCCTTGACAGTTCCCTGCACTGAGAATACTGTTAGACTGAATGAGGAGGTAGTGCAGGTGTGTCATGATCAGCAGTGGGGCCTATTGTGTGCCCCGAGGGGTATCTGGGATCAAAATGCCGTGCAAGTGATGTGCACTCAAGCTGGAAGGCCATCCACATGTTAGCACAGTTTCTTATAGTTAGAATGAGAAAAGAGTTGTTGTTTTTGCCCAGTCCCACGCAGCCCAAGCCGTAGGGTGTTCTTCTATGATGCTCCTGTCATACTGAATGACATAACATGCAATGGCACGGAAGATAGCATTGTCGAGTGTGCCCAAGCTGATTATGGCTCCTTCACTGACTGCGCTAATATTGCTGTAGCTCATTGTGAAGGTAAAACTATATAGTAGTAACATTACTGTCATATGACTATGGTAGGATTGCAATTTTCAAACAGCGCAAGAGTCCTGCAGTGAACCAAACGCTATACGGTTGACAAGGTTTTCAAGTGACACGATGGGTCGCCTGGAAGTGTGTGCTAACGGCATGTGGGGAACTGTCTGTGGCAATGCAGCAACCATTGCTTTGGTGAGGGTAGCATGCAGACAGCTGAACCATGCCCCAGGAGGTAATGTACTGCTCTGATTCACTGAGAAGCATTTTTAACCTCGCGGTTCTCTCAGGGTCACTTTTCAGAGAGAGTGATTTTGCATTTCTACTTGATGGACTTGTTCCAATACGACGAACAAATGTGGTGTGTGCTGGCAACGAAGACTCCCTGTCAGAGTGCTCCTTCAATGGAGCCGATGGAGACCCAACCTGCACTCATAGAGATGATGTCATCATTATGTGTGCAAGTATGTTTTCCTTTACCATAATTGGTGAACGAAGTCAACCTACCTAGCAGTTCAAATGGCATATTATTTTTACAATGGCACTATACAGCAAGTCGCCTAAGCCGAAGTTTCACACTCACATCCACTTTCCATTTCATGACATCACCCTCTATCTCGCAGCTCAGAGTGAGTGTAATGAGGGAGATGTTCGGCTGGTAGACGGCCAAACATCAACTGACGGACGAGTGGAAGTATGTCTTGATGGGTTTTGGGGCTCAGTGTGTGATGACAGATGGGACTCCAGAGATGCTCAGGTCGTGTGTCGACAATTGAATTTCAATGGACGTAAGTTTCTCTTGAGTGGTGCATGTAAGTGCACTGAATATTACTGGGCCTTTAAAAAACCTTTGTCATAGCATCGTATCCACTGCTGAGTTTTGGAGCCGGCCAATCGTCCACTATTCACCTGGATGATGTTCACTGTAATGGATCTGAGGAGAGAATCACTGAGTGTAGCCACAGTGGAATAGGAATCCACAATTGCCGTGCGGGCACTGAAGAAGCTGGAGTCATATGCACAAGTATGTGCCATCAAGGGGAGGGGGGGCAGCAACTGACCAATAGTCACACATTCACTCCTAAAAGATAGAACCTGCTTAGCACACAATAATATTGCCCCTGTGCTCACAAGAGAGAGCAATTTATGTATGAATAATGTGAGTTCATCTTAGATCGGAGTGTTCATACTCGCCCCTTTAACTTTCATTCGTTCTTTTAGTGCATATTGTGCATGAGTGAAATGTGTAACGTCCCTGCGCTCCCAACGACAGTTCTAATTGCTCGGGGAGACAGCGCCTGACGTGTGGGCAAGAGTTATCACCTCAACTTATGAGGCTGTTCATACTTCTTACTCTCATTCTCTGTCTCCATACATTATGTGCACAGGTTAAATAGGATACGGTTAAGAAAACCACAATTACCGAATACAATGGAGGGAACTCCCCTATTTCACTAAAACTGTAGCTTGTATGTCGATGCATCTCCATCATGACTGTGCAACCTTGTCTATAGACACAACATGTGAGGATGGGACAGTCCACCTGGTGGGAGGAGACGACGTGTCAAGAGGGAGAGTTGAGTACTGCTATCAGGGAGCCTGGTACTCTGTGTGTGCCAGTGACTGGGATGACAGTGGGCTGGAGGCACAAGTTATCTGCGGAAGTCTGGGCTATCGATATGGTAGGGCTGCATGTCACAGTACTGTTACTAAAGATAGAGCTAACATTTGGGCTTATGCACTACCACATTAACTTACTATTTACTAATCTCTTCAGAATCTACTGTAGTGAACTACGACGAGGGACGAGGGAATAGTCCAATTCTACCATTCAGTATCAGCTGCAGTATAGGTGACAGTGAGCTTGATGACTGTGCTAAGACTGCACTTGATACCAACCAGTGTCCACATGTGGCAGTAGTCGACTGTGAAGGTTAGCTCGCTTCATATCCTGGCTATCCTGGATGAATTCCCCCTACTACGGCCCAGTACACTGACTGATATATAATGTGTGTGGATGTGTGTGCTACTCTAAACATTATTTTGCATTCTGAAATAATGTGAATAGAAATAATGTGAAATCTGCATTTTGCAAGGGTGTAGAAAAGTGGCTCTTTAGAGTTGTTAACTATGCACCAGTTGTACAGTACAATGCAAATTTGAGTATTCATTGTATAGCAGATGGCCCAAGCTTATATTTCTCACAATTACTGTGGAGTAGAGTTTGATTTGGCCTTGTTTCTCCTCTAGCGTTGGCAATAGCGAGAACTATATATGTACAGTACCTATATCAACTAGTCCCACTGGCTACATGACATGCTCACATGATGCCATTTTACTCTGTGCTTTCTCTTGTTCTCCTTTTTTGCAGCTATCTGCCACACAGTTGGTATCACAGACTGTGAGATGTGTGGGAGTCGTGAGAGGTGTGGGATTGTAACGACAGCTGATGGAACCCCCGTCTGCAACTGCTACTCTGATTGTTACGATTATGGAGATTGCTGCTCTGACCTATCTAATTTAGACAATTGCTCTAGTAGGTGGCATTGTTGTTGCATAGGTTTTATTTCTAGACCAGCTCGCACAAGGATCAAATGCACCGACAAGGCTAGTTGGCGAGCAAAGCGAGCCTACCTAGTCTAAGTGATGGGCAAGTCGGCCGCTACACATACCTTAATGTTCTGTGAAAATCTATTTATGGAACTGCTTGCGCTCACTCACCAAAAATGCTTGCTAGTATAGTGGGTTTTAATATAAGAGAAGATCATATCCATAGGCTTGCATTATGCCCCCCTCCCCAAATATCCCTCTGTGTAGTTCCAGAGTGTGATGATGGTGCGGTTCGTCTGGTTGGTGGAGTGACCAACTCCACTGGGAGACTGGAGGTGTGTGCCAATGGATTGTGGGGCAGAGTCTGCAACAGATTCCAGTATTGGGGTCCAGACAACGCCAGAGTTGTGTGTCGTCAGTTGGGGTTCCCTACCGAAGGTAAACAAGTTGATTCATCGTGGGTTGTGACAATTAAAGTAAACTTCTCGTAAAAAAGATGCGCGTGTTGTGGAAGGTGAACTTGCCCGTATGTTTGGGGTAAGTGAGAGAGCTCCTCTCCTGGGAGAGGTCCACTGCATCGGAACGGAAACAGAGCTGTTGGAATGCTCCCACACAAGTATTGGACGGCATTTGTGTGGCGTTACAGTTGTTCCTCCAGTCCCAGACATTATCATTACTTGCTCCGGTATGACTGAGGTAGTACTGTATTGTGTTGCGTGTTTCTTATTGAGCTCTTTGGGAATGGGTGTAGGTACTCTATGCATAGGGACAACATAGTCAATGTGCCTAGGCAATATTTACACTTACTACGAAAGCATTATGCTGTGCTACCCCTATAAGGAGCTTCTACTAACAATGTCGGACACATGTATGTAGTTTCACGTGCTGAACATGCACAACTCTAGAGATTTGCCAGCCACCTTGTGTCAACGGAATGTGCAATATAAACACTGGAAACTGTGACTGCTCTCCTGGATATACTGGTATCTCCTGTGATGAAGGTAATCAATCAGACAGACACTGGGCAACCACATGATCTACTAGCTCCACTCTTATTACGTCCCCTCAGATGTACGGGAGTGTGAAGCAGACAATGGAGGTTGTGATCACATCTGCACTAACTTTCCTGGTGGCTACAACTGTTCATGCAGAGCTGGATACAACACAGATGGAACCTCTTGCAGAGGTATCATATATAGCTACGTGCTAAGTGTCCCAAAATTTTCCGGGATCATAATTTTGGGTTCAACTCAAAGTCCCGAAAAGACCAGAAATTATCCCAGATACTTTCGTGTGGTCCAATTAGATTCTGAATTGATTACTTTAAAAAGGTGGAGTAATCCCATGAACGCATTCGTACAAGTTGTATAGAAATCCTGTTTGCTTGCTGCATCTATGGAGATTGGAGGTTGCAAGTATGAGGTATGCTAAAAGCTATGCTGCTGTTTCACACATTGCATTTGTGGTGCAGACATCGATGAGTGTGGGGATGGGAGCCATGACTGCAGTCAGATCTGTGTCAACACTCCTGGATCATACTACTGCAACTGTCAGCGTGGCTTTCAGCTAGTCGGTGGCACAGAGTGTGAAGGTGTGTGTGTGTGTGTTTGTGTGGTGATCGAGGAGAAAGGGAGGGAAAAGGGGGAGAATGGAAAGTGACTAAACACAATAAGACCAGATGCTAGGAGACTTTGTCCACTTCACTACACCCGACAGCTCAGTGGTCAAAATTACATGTATTTTTAGATGGACCAGGGTACCCACTTCTGCTTCAGTATTTTGCGCTTGTGCAGCCCTAACCTATCACATTGACATCGTAATTACACAGTCTCACCCATACAAACACAAGAGCAGGACAAGGACGCCCCTGCTTTGAGAACTAGGGGTGATGGGTTAAAGATTTTTATTGCTAGCCAACTCTCCCCTTATGGGGAAGTGGGTTTGTTACTCCAGGGCCCTGGGCTGCGTTTATTCTAGTGACACCGTCACACTAATTACAAGTGTAAAAAATGGGGTGTGGCATCTTCTTACAACCGCGTGGAGTACCAATAATTGTGTGGGCGGCTGAGCATGCACGTGGTTTACTACAATTACAGGAATGACGAAGGAGATTTTTACTCTGAGTGTGTGTGTGTGTGTGTGTGTGATAACATGCATACGTTTTAACCCGTGCAGATGTGGACGAATGTGAAGCGCTTTCTCCCAATGGATTCTGCAGTCAAGTGTGTGTTAAACACTGAGGGTTCTTTCCACTGTGACTGTATGGACGGATACCAACTCTTTCGGTCATTCTTATGCACAGGTCTATATTATTGCACTTTCTAAATAAACAGTCGTCAATATCGAACATGTCATCAGATATTGATGAGTGCAGTGAAGGGATCGATACATGCAACAGAAGTGGACCCACACCGGCTCGCTGTATCAACACTGAAGGGAGCTACAGGTGTACTTGTGATGAGTACGTTGGGTACCGTTTGTCTACCAATGGTACCACTTGTGAAGGTATGTGTGTACTCTTTGAAACATACATTAATTTAAACCACCAAGCAAAGCACAAGTTAGTTTTTGCTTGTAAACTGTTTCAGATGTGGATGAATGTGCTGAAGACCCGTCCCTCTGTAGAGAGACCTGTGTGAACACACCTGGTTCCTACAGCTGCACTTGCCCTGAAGGATATGAACTTGATGTGGATCAGATATCCTGCCGAGGTTAGTTGAGTTAATAAAAAATACTTGGGGATGAAGAGTTTTTCTGAACAGATATTGATGAGTGCAAAAACATGAATGGTGGCTGTCAGAGCTCCTGTACCAACACACCTGGCAGCTTCAGATGTAGCTGTGACCAGGGATATAGGCTATTGGATGGTGGATTACAGTGTGAAGGTAAGTGAATACACTTTTGAAGATGTCATTTCAACTGACTCTTACAGCCCTCAGTTGTGATCCAGTTCTTGAAGCTCCACTGAATGGTGAGATAGAGTGTGACAGACAGACTGTGGGTCGGATTTGCAGGTTCACCTGTGATGACGGCTACACTCTGAGAGGCTCAGAGAATCGGACCTGTCTCCCCTCCCTCCAGTGGATGGAACCTCCTGCCATATGTGACCCTCCAATGTGCCCTCACCTCACTCCTCCTGACAATGGATTTGTGTTGTTCCCATGTACCAGAGAGGAGGGCCATCTGTGTCATGTTGTGTGTGCCCATGGCTACACCTTAGTGGGTCCTAGCAATCAGACATGTAGAAAGGATAACACAAGCAGTCTTGTGTGGAGTGATGGACCACAGTGTGTGGGTGAGTTTACTTTGCCATTTCTAACCCTCGGAAAGCATGCACAGCGAGGTTTATGGTACTTGGTCTGTGTGTGTGTGTGTGTGTCGACGCTTACTCTGGAACTATTGGCTACGAGGCGAGCGATATACATGAGCCTGAAAATTAAAATGGCACACTCAGCCAAGCCAATCAATTAGCATGCACAGTGCGCCGAGGGTTTGCACTTCAATGCAAGGGGGTAAATACCCATACTAGTAAATGCATGCTTTCCCTCATACTTGATATTGAGCCAACAGTATTGTGTCAGTGGTACAATGCTGTCCTGTGTCTAAGGTTTTCACAACTAAGCTATGGTGTATAATGAAAAAGCACCAAATAATATTTCTATTTAGAGAGTGGTCAAATGTGACCCAAATCCTTGTCTGAATGGAGGCTATTGTATCGAGGAAGGTACTGAGTTTAGATGTGTATGCAATGGAACTGCAACTGGTTATGGTGGACCAACATGTGGAGCAGTTATTGTATACTTCCCACCAATCCCACCAGTGACTGATGGAGTATTTATTCCGATCGTGCTGTACACCAATGTTAATGAACTCCCTGATGGATTTGTTGACAGACAAAGAGTAGATATTAAATTTCCCAACCAGGAGAAATTGCGGGCAATAGTAGATATAGAAAGACGAGAAAGGAATCCAACAAGTGTAAGAGGTGCAATAGGTGTACTCACACTTAGTCTGCCATCGAATACTGACGAGTCATCTATCTGCCAAGCGAGATAAATGTATTTGTAACTGGTGGATCAGATGAGAGACGGTCATACTTTGAACAGTTTAATCTTCCAAGGGGACTGTTGCAGCCAAGTTGTTGCAGTGCAGATGATCATGTCACACTTTCCTGTCCTGGAGACTCCACTCAGACAATATCACTGCTATCATCATGTGAGTGGAATACCACTGACAAGGGTGTTACAAGAACAGATGCTGGTGTTTGTGTTCGTTCAGAGTAGTTCCCTAGCTCTACCAACTTCTCTCTCCAGCTTCAGATACAGAGATGTTCCTTACCGCAATGACATTAGGCTTGAAATTGGAGAATGTGTACCTTGCAATGAATGCAGCAGTACCAATAGCCAGTGCTCCTGTTATGATCACACACCAGATGACACTGTGGAGTTTCTCCAAGCTAGAGCCTTGGCCTTCACTTACATCAATCAAATCCAGGCATTACTTCCATCCTGGTTGGAGCTGTTTGTGGATTTAGAGCTGTCGTTAGCATCGATTGGATTGACTAAAAATGACATGTTTGCACCAGTCACTAGATTAAGTAGACCTGTTTCCTCATTTGAAGGTTGCGAAAAACTCACTGACCTAGTGGGCGGCAGATACTCTGTGTTGAGATATGACAAAACTCTATCAGTAGTCATAGATGGCCAGAGATATGACTATGGGGAGGACAATGAGACTGGGACCACTGGAGATGTCATGTGTTTTGCAGTTGACTTGTGTCATAAATCAGAGTCTCCAGTTCACATGCAGATCTCCCAACCAATCAATGACATTCTATTCTACCAGTATCTCAGTGGGTTCACCGACAGACAGTGGAACATTCTCCTCAATACTGTGTCGGTCTTCAATCAACCTGTTACTCAAAAAGTAGTGATGCTATGTTTTGGAATGGCGTGGAGATGATGTCACTGCCAGATGTTAAAGTAGATATTTCGGTGAACACAGATCTTGAGCTTCAATTTAACGAGGGTGGCCTCAATGTCAGGGTGGAATTTAGTGGAGATGCTTCATTCGAATACAGAGTAAGCTTATATTTACATGTGCATATTAATATATTGGCTACTTGACAGGAAAGACAAGGAACACTGGAAGGCCAGATTTGTTTGGTAGCTAGTAGCATGATTGATGGAACTGAGCAGAGCTTCCAACTCAATAGCTACGACAGAACAACAAATGCCTACTGTTACATTGACGGTGGGTCTCTACAAAATACTCTTCTTGTTTACTTGTTTCTATTTGTTGCATCTAGGTAGTGGGGATCCTTGTAAGAGCAAGACAGGATTATCTTTCGAAGCAAGTTTCCAGCCACAACCTGGTGAGCTGTTCTTCACGCGACTTCTTCGATTCACTGAGATCACTCAGAGCTGTAGCTTCAGTGCCCTTCTTGCCAATAACCAGTGACTACAGAGCTCTTGGTCTCATTCTACACACTGAGTGTCCTCTTCTTGCTACTGGACACCTCATCTTGCCTGAAATGTCCCACACCATCACCTTCATTGGATCAGAGAATCCTAACTGCTTCACCAGTAACTTCCTTGAAGTTCCAGACCCAGCTCTTGTGATTGAATCTGAGTTGATCAATGATCGCTTGCCTCTTGGGAACATCTTTGAACTTCAGGCCAACTCTACAGGTCCTGATGTAGTGACTGTCTTTGGAAGAGAGGATTCCGGACCAGTCTCTCAGTTTCATTCGATACAAGCGACTCTGTTTGGAGGAGTGTTTGAGTCAGAGGCCACCGTCAGGAATGAACAGCTGACAATCTCCACCAGTAGCGGTAGTGTGTTTGGCTATCCAGCAGAGCTGACCATCACTGCACCTTCCAACAGGACTGACTGGCAGGACCTGGAATTGACTGTGGATGGCTCTCTACTCTCAGGCAATGGCAGCTTCATACAGAAACTAAGTGAAGTTGTTACAAGAAAGCTGCAGAGCCTTGCTCAATCAGCAAATTCACGACGAGAAGTAGCTCAGATGTCTCTTAATCGGTCAATGGAGAGGCTTCTTGCTATTGAAGAAAGATACAACCAGACAGTTGCAAACTTGCCTCTAGCTGAACCAATGAGGAAGCCACAAGAGAAAGCATTGAAGAGGCCACAATAAGGTTACAAGAAATAGAGCAGCGGTTTAATGCCAGTCAAGATCCAGGACTAGTAGAATTGGACGAATTGTGTACTTTACAGGTGTGTAAAGATGTGTGCATGCCAGGCCAAGTATGCAGGAGCTGTTCCAAGCCAACCGTTGTTAAAAAAACAAACAAGTGTCCAATCCACGGTTAAAGAAACTGAGAACGTTCGTGTG